AAAGATGAAATTACAGACATTCTGGTAAACTTAGTTTAAGGAACTTTTATACGTAGTGGGGACATGGAGCAGTTTCAGATCTCTTGAGTCAATCATGGAGCTTCACAGAGAAAGCTAGGAATTTATGTGATCCTCTTTCTCAAAATTGTCAAATAATGAGACCATTTCTCAACTATACTGCATCATCGTTTAAACTCCAGCACTAAATTATATTGTCCCATAATTTTTGGAGAACAGGAAAAAAATGTGGCAGCTGTTTATTGTAATTCCCAACTTAAATTTGAGAACAGTAATTGAAGCTACCATTCAAATTTGTATTTTTCAAAAGCTCAAACCACATAATCTTTGGTCATAAAATTTGTTTCCAGTTCCTTTATATTTCCTGTACAGGAATTATCTTTCTCAATGGCATGATGATTATGTATACATTCTTTAAAAACACAGAATATGTTATTAATGGTGGTGATGACTGAACCAGCAGGCTTATTCAAATTTTTCATATATGCATGAAACTGAGTAGGAGGTATAAAATTTCTTATATAAAATCTTTATTTTATATAAGAATTAGAAAAAAAAATAAAAAGAATTTTGTAAACAATAGTAATAATCTGTTTATATTTTCTAGGTGTGATCTTGCTTAACATTTTCTCAAAGATAGGTCTGCTTCTATCATTGTTTAAATTAATTTTAACCAAACATTTATCTTAAACTATATTATTTGTTTAAACATTTATGTGGTCAAAAACTAAGAAGTTCATTCAAATATTAATTTTCAAAGAATATTTTCTGTGAAAGAAAACTGACCGTACCGTATTTCTTCCTTATAACATATGTGTTTATTGTGGCTTGCAAGTACAAAGTTCTTGGCAAGACTGATCACTAAGGAAAAAAAAATATCGCATTAGTATACCTTAAAATTATAATAAAGCTTGATATATCATGTTCATGGATATTTTAAATATTTTAAGCATTTAATTGTTTTTGGCAACAGCAAAATGAATTTCACCTCTATGTGAAAATAAGTGCTCTCAACTGCAGAAGCTTCCTGCCAGGTACTTAGAGATAAAAGCATCACCAGGACAATGGTAATACAATGGTCTTTCTTAAGTGTCCCACCAGAAAAAGGAACATCTAGAAGGTTCTGTGTGGATGACAGAAAACTGTCAAAGGAGAGAGCCCAGACTGTCCCACAGAAAAAATCTCACTGCATTCAGAGAAATCCTGTGTCATTTTGGTCATTAAAGATTGGTTGGTTTGCCCTCCACTCATCAATAAATTCCATAGGTGCATCATCCTCCCCCAAAGAGCAGCTGACATCATACCACATTACTGGCATCATCCCCCTGGGGTTGCCTTTCTGAAAGAGTCTGAGAGATGTTGTTTTTTAGTGGCATACAGTGACTTGCTGCAGAGAACTGGCCATGATTCTCAACATCCTAACCTTGAGAGAGTTGGGCCACAGGAAATTCAAACTTGTCTGTCCCCGAAAATGCCCACGCTTGGATCATCTGCTCCATACCATAGGTGGATTTCAATTCTTTGTCAAATTATAACTGTTTCTGCTCTTGTTTTCTATTGTCATACCTCATCCAACCTAGTACAGTGGCATATCAGGGGCATACTTGAGATGGAAATCAGAACAGAATTTCCCCAGGGTATGCCACTGTACAGAGTTCCTCTTGCCTGAAAACAACAGACACTTGGCAGGAACTGAAGCCCCAGTATTGCTGGGTTCAGAGTCATCCTGGAATCAATGGCCACCAGATGAGACAAAGCCTAGTAGGTAGTGATGAGTGCTCTCAAGTACATGTCTGGGTTTGAGTTGGGCTCTGCTTATTCATTTTGTGAACTTAGTCAATTTTTATTTTCTCTAAGTCTCTCTGATTCTTCATTTGTAAGTGGATTTGAAAATATTTTCTAGTGCATGGTACTTCAGTTAGGATTCAGTGAGTTCATATGTGTACAACGTTGTCAAAGTACGGCAAATTGTAGACATTTAAAGAACAGTATATCTTTGTTCTTACTACTTTATATGCTGATTTATCCGCAGTTGAAACCTAGAAATTCAAGTGGCACTGAAGACAGCTGGAGACAGAGTTTAAGCATCTGCATTCTTGTTGTGTCCCAGTGGGTAGCATCCAAGAAATGAGTTGGACAGACATTCACATCTTCATTTAAAATAAAACTTCCAGTTATATCATTGAGACTGTTATTGCAAACCAATGAAAAATAAACAACTGATGTAATCAATGAACACACAAATACAAATATTTCATCTGATTATTTACTGGGAGGAAAATTGCCAAAATATCAAATTATTTTTCTTTTATGGTTTCTTAGTTTCTTTTGGCAACTATGATGAGTTCATATCCATTTTCCTACCTGAGTTAGTGGTCTGACTACATTTCTAATCATTGAGGATATGTATGAATCTGTGTTCATACATCTGTGTTAGGTTATTCTTATTCACACAAAGGGGTTTGTTCATAATGTAGACATTGAAACTTTAGGGGAAAGTTATGGTGTTGCTATAGATGACAGTTCTGGGTATCTAGGTATCTATGGTCCTAAAACTATCTACAAAATAACTCTTTGGTACTTTCTGGTTAACAAAAGTGTGACCATAAAATAATTGCTAATTTTAAAACCTTCTCTGGTCTGTTACCAGCAGTATAGCCCAACTGATCTCAAAAAAAAAAAAAAAAAAAAAGAAAAGAAAGAGCTATCATTTTGGTACATCTAGTTAAAGTAATAAATCAAATTATATGGGCATGATAAACTGGGAAAGTAAAATATAACAATGTCCTGAACTGCACATTAAGTTTCAACTGCATTTCCAGGGTAGGTTATTAAGCCCTATAACTTTCATCATATGTTGTTGTGCTTCCTCCTCTTTGCCAGACCTATGAGTTAAGAAAAATCAAAACAATAACTGCAGTGGCAGAGGAAGTTATGTCAATACCTAATGACATTTTCTGCTTGACAATTTTGAGGTTCTAGTATTTATCTTATTTCTTGATATTTGTATCATTAACTCCCTTCTCTTGATATCTTTTTCAGATTTCAATTTATTATATAGTTTTCAGATCCAATTTAAAAGAAAGTGATTGGAGGTGACTCCCTAGTGGTACAAGGGCTAAAGTCTTAGGGCCAGCCACTTGGGCATGAGTTTGATACCCTCCCTGGGGACTGACCCACATGGTACAGCAGAGGTCCCTCTCTCACCAGCTGCTCCCTTCAGCAGTGTATATGCCTGTTCTACTCCCTCCTCTGCCTCTGTCTCTACTCCTCACTCTCTCTCTGTCTACACATCTGGCCTGCACTCTAGTTCTTGAATGCATAAATAAATAAAATAAATCATTTTTGAAAGAGAGAACTTTTGGAGCATAAAATTCAGAGAAATTTGTGAAAAATCTCTTAGGGGATGGGCAAAATATGGTATTTAGTGTGTGCATCCTGTCAAAGAAGATGGAAAGAGCTTGTGCACTGAAGAGATTGAAAATCTCAAAGGAAGAAAAGTAAGAAGGACAAGATAGATCGTAAACCTCATGCATACAAATTACTGTTAAGGTATTTACATTTATTATAATTATGGAAACAATGAGATTATACTGTTCTTTATGAAGCAAATAATTAATCACTTATAGCAAGTTTTTCAAAAACTATTTATGTAAGGAAGAGGGGCAAGGGTGGTGAGAGAATTCACCAGAGACAGAGTGGGGAGCAAAATAGACAGATTGACAGCAATATACTGCTTAGGGGAGCAGTGGGCTGGTTAGTAGAGGTCTGCCATGCCATATGGATCACCTCCATGGCTGGAGATAGAACTTGTGCTGCAGTGGCTGCAATAGCTTCATAGTGCTGTGCTTTAAGCCACTGAGTCACCAAGGAGGGCCCGTATTGCAAGGTACTTTTAAAAATTCTGTCCAGCACCTTGGCTGCTCTCTGACTAGAAACTGAACTATGGTCGTGCTATGTCACCGTATTTAACTTTCTCTTCCTTTCCCTAACATTCAGGTAGAACTGATGTCAATATGGAGATTATCATTAAAAAAAAAAAAAAAAACAATTCGTACAGAGAAGCCTGCAAATCTTAAAGTTGAAAACTGATACAAGAAAAGATAAAGATACAGGATAAGGAGGGATTAACACCTGAAGGTAGTCTAAAATCTGCTGGCAAGCAATTAGAAGATGGACATACTTTGTTGGAGTTAAAGAAAGCGCCCTTTATGTTGATACTATATGATGGTACCAGGAAAAGGAGAAAGTCATATACCACTTTCAAGAAAAATAAGCAGAAGGAAAGAAGTTTGCGATGGTTGCCCTGGAGTACTACAAGGTCGTGACGATGTCAAATCCTGCAAGGTAGATGAGAGTGCCATTATCAATTGTCTTTGTTGGGAGTGTCCTTCAGATGAATCTTTTTATGACCAGTCACCTCCTGCTTTAGTAAACCAGAAGACAAAATGTGTAGAGATTAGTAAAATGCTTGAATGAAACAATAACAAAACACTCTAACTTTAAAATATCTTTATAAAGTACAAAGAGAGAAAGACATGCACATACAACTTCCAAACACTATGAAAAAAATTATATTGTTATTACAATACAAAACACAACACAAGCAGATGATTATAAACCAGAGATACCCTACAAGGGAGTGGGCAGAGAAGAAGGTAGGGATGTGGAGGACTGTGGCAATGACTGGAGGGTGAAGTGAGATAAAGAAACTAAAACGTTAACCTTTGTGGGCCCTCTCTGTAGCAAGTTGAAGCACAGCACTAAGAAGCTAAAGCCTCATGAGCATGAGTTTGATTCCTGCCCTGGGAGGTGATTCACATGGCACAGCAGACCTCTCCTGGCCCACCCACTGCTCCCCTCAGCAGTGTACTTAGTCACTTGGCCTGTTCTGCTCCCCACTCTGTCTCTGGTGAATCCTCTCACCGCCCATGCTGAACTTCTGGCTTGTGCTCCAGTTCTGTATGCACAAATAAATAAATCTTAAAAAAAAAATCTTTAAAAAAGAAAAACTATATACACCTCTTAAGATTTTCTGTTAATTGTAGTCATACACACTTATGAATACACACTTTTAAAATAAAAATGGGCCCTTCCTCATGGCTCAGCGGGTTAAAGCACAGCACTGAGAGACTAAAGCCACTTCCACTTCCATATGAGTTTGATTTCCGCCTGCCCCGAGGTGACCACATGGTGCTGCAGACTTCTCCTGGCCCACCCGCTGCTCTCCTCAGCAGTGTACTTTGTAGATCTGCCTGTTCTGCTCCCCACTCTGTTTCTGATGAATCCTCTCACCCTCCGCATCTCTGGCCTGTACCCCAATTCTGTATGAATAAATAAATCAATCTTTAAAAAAAATGATTTTACAAAACATTGTAGACAGTGTGGCATCTGGAATCTTGAGTGAGGTGAACAATACCCCTCCCATAGTAAAATGAAGCCTGGTAGGGCTCTGGTTAAAATAGCACTGAGCAGAGTGAATGAGTGGCCCTGGGCATAGTAGACATTCTGTCTAGCAGTCTCTTGTGTAAGTGAGAGGGATTATTCTTCATCTTGCAGTGTTAGATTTGCTGTGGCCCCAAGGAGAGGCCACAGAAATTGTTCATGAATATATGTACTTGCAAAGTAATATATTTTCATTTCAGTTTCTTAAGGTTTCTACCCCTTTTAATCTCTTAAGTGTAAAATGTTGTTTCAGTATGTTTGGACCTATGAGGATTTACGATGGAACATTTAAATTGGGGAGCATAGAATCTAGGTTTGTTGATTTTGTGGCTTGTCCTTACATTTTCAATACTTAGCTTGTGCTAGCTGAACTGGAAAAGGGACTAAGTCCAGGAATGTCACCCTAACCCTCTGTGAATCCACCAATGTGATGACAAGTGGGGCAGGATCATTCACAACAATGCCTGTCTCTGGAAAGTCCTAGCAAAGGATGGGAAGCAAAGTTTGTAAGCAAAGATTGAAAACTAGAGTATGGGGCCTATTATATAAGAATGTCTTCCAAATTTTGGAGGTTATTTACAAAATAGATTGTACAGAGGTTTATCTTATTTAACCATCCTAAAAAGCGTATAAATTTTAAAAATAAGAAGCTGCATATGTGGAAAAAAATCTGAAATTTTAACATTTTTTGATCATCTGTTCTGGAATAGTGATGAATTTTTCAATCTATCTGGAAAGATAAAATATATATTTTCCAAAATTTTCATATATGAAGGTATATATATGTTTACATTTGCAAGAAAATTGAGAATATACAACACTTTAAGTAGTATATTAGTGAAAACACTATTTGGATTCTATGATGTTTGGAATATGTGACAGCTTTTTAAATTTTGTAATTCAGTTGATACAACTTTTCTTGTCATGTCAAATTCATATTTATTTTATACCTAAGATTTGTGTATTTTTAATTATATATCTAAGGAAATTTCCTAGATTTCAGTATCCGTTAAATCTAGATTTTAACTTCCGTCTTTCTATAGACTAGAAACAGGAAGACAGTGAAAATGCAACTCCCATTTGTTATTGCTATTATTGATGAAGATGACCATGACCATGATCATGAAGATAACAATAATTCAGAGAAAATATAGAGGAAGGGAGAATTCTGAAAGTGTTCAAGATCCAATGAGAAGGATGATCTTATGTGTATTCGGCTCTGAGACCCTGAAAACAGAAAGTTGAAAATGCACATTTGTATCCAAAATGGAAATTAAATGAGGGATAGCAGAAGCTGGAATGCACTGGGAAGAATGGGGTGAAGGGATGTGTTGTGATTTAGAAGAAGAAACAACAAGTGATCATAGTAGATGGTGGTAATATATTGCCTTGAATATTCTATGAAGAAGGGTCTTTCATCAATAGGGTATTTTAGTTTGCACTGTGGGCACAAAGCAATTATCTGTACTTTTGGAAAAAAATGAACTGTTCTCAGAAGTGTTATTCATCATAGCTCTAATACATTTCTATTCATACTCTAGTACACATGTGTAAAACCTTAGAACATTATATAAGATCAATATGAAAAGAAAAAAAAGCTTACTTTATAAAATGTGAAATAAAAGGGTACAACAAAGATTGTTCTACATTTATTTTCACAAAGCCCAATTTGAAAATACTGTGAGTTGTAATTAACTAGCCTTCCGCCAAGTTTGATAAAGGTAAACAGAGAATGAAGCAATATTTTTATATGACATAAATTAACATAACATTTCTTTTTCCTTCCCTTGTTTAGTTTTTGGTCCAAGCTAGTCTATTTCAATGCCATCTGCTTATTTCCTTTGATGTTCTATGTAATAACTGACAGTCACTTGGTACTCTCAGCTATTATTTGTACAAATAAAACCTGACAAGAGCATTCATAAAATAATGTCAATACTATATCAACTTACTCTGAACATAGACCCATACAGCTGCAGCAACTATGAGAAATAAAGCTGCCTTCAACCATAATTTATACAATCATAAATGGAGTAAACTGTTCTCTTTAAAAACAGCCTGGATAACCTATAAACAAAATGATAAATCACTAGTCATTATTGTGTTTCTTTTTCTCCTTTCTTTCTTTTGAAATCACTGGGAAAGTTCTGGTTTTTTGCTTGTCTTTTGCACAGCTTCAGGTTTTGGTTGAAGTATTAATGTGAAATATTTTTGTTAAAACATACTTTTGATCCAAGTAATAGGGTAGAAGTAGCTAAGAATTTGGAAAAAAAATAAGGTATTTTATTTATTTATTTTTTTCCTGATCCCTTATACTCCTGAAAATCAACTAACAACTATAAGCCAGAGACATTCTATAGGGGAGGAGAGGGGAACAGGGTCAAAACTGGGGTAGGGGACCCTATACATCACAAATACCACTAATAATGTAAGCTCATGTTAAGTATGTATGCATGTGTGTTATGTGTATATAATGATACATATGCATATACATATGTAGACAACATAAAATACAATTCACAAGTTGAAAATTGATTTCATCATGAAAACCTACATTGAACTCAAATTATATCAAACATAACTCTTAAGTGCATAGAAACAAGAACACACAGACAGTTACAACGTTGAGACTGCATCCTGATGGAACAAGAACAGGATATTTTTATAAATCCTTGACTTAACCAACACCTTACCAAACACCTGAAAACATACAGTAAATAATAACTGTGGTTAGGATTATCAGTTTAAAATACATTGGTTTTGTCTACTTTGTAATTCCTGTTTCAGTAAAAAATAAGAGTGTAAACCTATAGACTATTGCTGCATTTCATATCAATATTCCTATTTAGTTGTTTCAATTTTCACAAAATTTCTATTTTATTATAAAACATTTCAATTTTTCCTAAGACTACAAAAATTTCATGTGAAATTATTAGGCTGTAAAATTAACTCTTGTAAGGGAGAATTTATTAGCTGACAAAGAAATCTTAAAATGGCTGTTGTTTACATTCTCCTGAACAATTGAGCCAATGTTCACTCTTTGTCATGTTACTTTGAAATTAAGGATAATTTAAAATATGTGTACAACTCGTAAAATATTTGATAAAATTATACCTACATTATTGACAATACTTTTAATTTTTGGTAAAACAATATTAATTCTAAGGACATGGTAAAAGTATTTTGCATTCAGACTTAAATCCTATTAGTGTTGGAGATATTTCTCTCTGGCTCAAGGTTGAGTGAAAGATCTCATAGGACAGGGACTTTTAGAGAGCCCAAGACACAGATGGAGAGCTAATCCCTGCCCTTCGTGGTTAAAGGAACACTTCAATGCAAGAAACAAGATGTGTGATTCCTCTCCAGGAAGAGGGATGTAGTCAACCCAAAGCCTAGGATTCTGATGAAGACAAGGAAGCAGAAGGTCATTGCACTTAATTGAAGAAAGTAATTTAGATAAAGAGCTGTCTTTTGGGAAAAAACAAAACAAAACAAAACAGGTGTTCAGTTTTGTGAAATACATGAACAAGTGCCATGTTCATTTGAAATACAAAATTATTTAGGATAAGATAACTTGCTGAAGCCAGGAGATTTGTGGAATCTAATACAGGTTGTCTGGGAGACCAAAAACACATGGTGAGAGGCAGATTTAGTACTAGTGGTGCAAGACTCAGTTGACATCAGTGTTCACTTCCTGGTAACTCGCAGTAAAGGAGAGCGAGGGGCTTTGTTTCAAGTTACCCTGGTCCTTTTGATTATTCCCTTATGGGGCTGCTGCTGCATCACTTGGCCCCTCCAAAATATGTCAAGCTGTGGAGATGCAAAGAGGGTCAGCCCCCCATGGACACCAACAGGAAGATTCATATTCAGCAATCTCTGTCTCTCTACAATCTCTACATCCC